GCAAGAAAAACCATACATGTTCCTTAAGCCTGTGCCACAATGGGGAAAGAATTGTTCTTTCTTTGTAAACTGTGACAGTCTGGGCTAAAGGCAATAAAGTCATGGAAAGGTTGCAAAGAGGGGAAGGACAGAAGAAAGATAATTTTGGCTGCAATTTAAGAAAAATATTTCCACTATGTCCATTATTTTTAACTCTATGTCTTAAATGATTTTCATTGTTGCCTTATTTTAAATACTGTAAGGGGCAAAATAAAATGTATTTGAGGGAAAACAATATACTATGTATCATAGGTAAATTAAGTAAAATACCAGCTATTCTTAGAATTTTTTGACTACTGATTAACATCACAAAATAGATAAGGCTAAACAATAGGCTAATAGGTAATTGTATCTTCCTTTCATTTGAAACCAGTCAGTTCTAAATTATTCATGCTAACCTAAGAAAGATACATACGTAACCTAAATTGATCAATAATCCAGATAATTTGTTTCACTTAGGAATGTGCCCTTCCATTTTCATTTAAACATGACTGTCTCTGAAATTCAGGAATTCACTTAAAGTCATACCACCGAAAAGGGACAATACAGTAAAGGCTTAAATCTTGTGACCCAGCCCATACTGAAAATTAAAGCTATGTTTTAGGCTGATGTCAAGATTAAGTAGAGAGTGATTTATATCTTTTTTTTAAGTATCTTTTTAAAATTCATTTTTTGTATTCTTCAATTTTTTTTTGTACAAGAATGAGTAGCTTTATTATTTTTCTGGTAACAAAAATATTTCCACATGGAAAGCAAAGAAGTACCCTCTTTCACATTTTCCTTGAGACGGTCACCTTAAATAATTGAGTTTAAGAGAGCTTCTCTGAGATACAAAGTGTATTTTTAAAAAGATGGGTGCAGCAGTCAATGGGGTCGAAAAGAGTCGGACACATCTAAAACTTTTTTGATAAAGACTTATTCCTGTACTGTGTAAAATAAACCTAGGAATGAAAAGTGCTTTATAATAAAAACTAACTAAAACCTAGCAAATATGCTGACAATGTTTTTCACTGAAATACTTAACATTTTAAAGTATTTACATAAAAGGCAAAATCTTATTATTTTGAAAAGTAAAGGATCAGTCAAGACAAAAATTCTTTTTTACCTACTCAACAGTTTACATAGATAATTAAAAGTATCTGGATATTAGGAATTGCTTTTAGCTATGCATTGTTTTCAAATAAAACTTAGAAATTACAGAATTTATACTTCTTTATTAGGAGAAAGGCTAAGAGTCATATCTCAACACAGAAAGTCCTAAGTACTTTCTGATATTGTCAGCTGAAGCTGAATAATTCATCAAATATTGACTTAATCATTTGAGAAAATGATGGGTGGGCCCTTTACCATTTGCACCTAATTATTTAGGACTTCGTAATGTGTGTTGAATCTATAACACGATGATACATGAATAATACAATACCTCAGTTTTCAATTTTTAAAAACAAAAGAACCAAACCCCAAAACATTCTGATTTTGTTGTTTACAAAATTGTTTTCATTTTAATGATCTGAGTTAGTAACAAACAAATATACAAAATTGTCTTTCACATTTCCGTACATTGTATTATGGACCACTTAAAACTCTGGACTACAAATGCAGGTTTCTTTGTAACCTTAACCTCAATTATTGTCACTTATAAATAACGGTGATTTGCGAAAACATGCATTTGTGAACACAGATGCCAAAAGTCGTACATGTAAGTTAATGTACAACTAATAGTGTACATTGTTCATTTGTGCAGTTATGTGTCAAGTGTAATTGACACAGAAGCAGTTATCCTGGAATTTTTCACTCTTTGAAAAGTATTTCTGAGAAATAGATGGAACTACAGTTTAAAACAAAAATTATATTCTATAAGATACAATAAAATTCACAACGTGCACATCTGAAGCAACTTCTGGGACCCAAAGCTGATTCAATAACCCTGCTGCCATATTAGTTTTATGGGTGTATCTCCAAAGTCACAGGTTGGAAAATAGCTGTTTTAACAAAAATAAATACATATATTAAAAGGAAACTGAGACTTTGCAAAAACAGTAAGGGATTTGTGAGTCACCTATAATTTTCACTGTTTTAGAAACTAGACAAAATTTAGAAATTTAAAGATAACCTGAATATTTTCTAAGCCATTTTAAATTTAGATTTTTCTATCTCATCATTGTTTTCTATCTCATCATTGTTTTCTATCTGATAGTATAATACAAAAGTGGGTAGTTTCTATTGTTTACTATAATTCATAAGTCATTATAAATTTATGACTTCATTAGATCAATTAAGTAGAAACTAGGTCATCATGAAAATGGGAATAAGGAGGCCCCTTCTCTAACCACTAATCTGAACTAGGAGTAAATACCAAAACAAAATGATTTTTTAAAAAATAGTAAATTGTGTCTAGGTTTCTGTAGGTACGAAAATCCAATCTTTCTTAAAAACATTTTCCTGGGTTGTGGCAACATGTGCTTTATCTCTTGAACTCTATCTACGACCTAAGCCTATTTCTATATTACACATTTCAAACTCCCTGGCAAGGAATGTGAATGCTAACCAGCTAGGTATTTATTCAATTTCATACAAAGAAAGGACTTGTGTATGGATGTCATAGTAATAGTCCCAGTTCACTAAGGCCTGAGTTTGATGTCTTAGCCTATGCTATATGCATCAAATGAGAGAAGATGGTGCAAAGTAACTGGGTTTCCTTCAGGCAGTATCATAGACTTGGCCTCTGGTTTAATGAAAACACTTGTTTTCTAATATGAATACAACTGCAAACAACTGAAGGGCAACTGCCGTTGGAAAGGAAATGGATTATTTTGTACAGGAAACAAGGAATGTCTGTTTTCCATGGGCCTTATGATGAAGGAAATGTGGCTAGTGATTTCAAACTTGTACTTCAAGAGTTACCCAAATGCAGGATGGCTTTTAAAAATGTTTAAATCATTAATAATTCAGGCAAATAAGCTGTGGGAAGTAACATAAAGACGTATACTTACAACCCTACATTAGGTGATGTAGTTCTCTACTCTGCACTTTGGAAATGAAAGAAACCAATTCTGTCCAGAGTCGGTATCAGAAAGAAATATGGCTGCTTCCTACTGTTCTCCACTTAGCAAAATTAAGTTTATGCTGCTCTCAGTGCTGATACTCTCTTACTGGAGTTAGGCAAAATGTATCTAATAGGTTACTTTTGCTTTCAAAATAAGCTGCCTAAATGTTCAGAAATGGAACATTTAATTCTTCAGAGAAATTTCTATGATTATCTTGTCTAACAACAGGTATAAGGATTGTTAGATTAAGGATTATTGCTTTCAATAAGATAACCGTCAGAAATAAATATGTAAGCTTAACTCAAATACTCCATTTCCACCCAATGCTACTTTGTTTGATTCTCAAATCAAGTTACATGCTACCTTTAATTCTTTGCCAATTTACTGAGGTTTTAAGTGTTAAGAAGTTGGCCTGTTAACTCAAAATCAAGACAACAGCAATAGCCATGTAAGCATGTCTTATTTGGGCACTGAGCAGTAACACTGCTTTTTTGATAGGACTTAAGGCACTAAATGGTGGTAAAATAAACACAAGTATGATGATTAACAACTTCTTTAGAATCCTAAAAAAGGAGATCGCTTAGAAGGACACTAGTAAAAAATTTTTTCTCAAACAAATAAGGCATCCTGTTGGCAAACACAAATAAAAACAGAAGGTCATGTTGAACCTAATACATTCACGGTCTCAGCTAAACTACTTGAAGAAACACTAGCTATCCAACTAAAGAGAGCTACAATAGCATGTATAAAGGTTGGAAAGGCACCAAAAGGAGGATTCTACCACTTCCAGTTCTAAGAGTCAGGTCAGCTGTGTTTAACACTGCATGTAGTCTACAAATTTTATTCTTCAAAATGTAGAATGTGGTTAATTTTAATTTGGACAAATCAGTTAACCAAGTGCTAGTTTACTAAGAAATTTATTTTTATGAATTAGAAAATGACTGCAGTGTCTAACACAACCCCATTTATAAAGCTAAACTAATTCTAGTACTGAATGCATATTCTGGAAAACACTGAAGTAAATCTGTATAAACAAAGAGGGTTACCTCAAGATAAATTCACAATAGAAATTCAACATATAACTAAATAAGATTTACTGAAAATAATGAAAAGTGTAGTACAGATACATCAAACATAATTATAACCACATTTTCCTTGTGAAAAATACAACTATTAGTGAAATAAAATGTACAATTGAAATTTTTTCCAAAGGAAAAACGGTATAAAGGAAAATACTTTTGAGATAGGGAAAATAGTATGTCATTGTTTTTTCATCACCATATAATTTGACACAAAAAGCAGTCATAGAATTGCACCAATTCCACATCCAGTTTCCTGAACATGTTAAGAGTAAAAGTTCATAAAGCAGAATGCCATTTCTGAATTTTACATTTTTAAGCTGATGATATTCTCATACAGAATGTCACATCACACCAGATCTGCTTACATAATGTACAATACTTTCCATTTTGTGGTCAGACATGAAGATAAACATATTTTCTGCCACTTCTCTTTCATTCTGTTGTTTGGTCAGAGTCAGGAAAAAAATAATCAAGTTACTTAAGTGTTATCTCTCTAGCAATAAAGAAAAATTATATTTAGTGCATGCTTCATCATTTGTCAAAAAACATTTCTGAAAATAAAACTCAGTTACCCAATGGTTTACAAAATAGAAAAATCATTCATCAGGATAAAAACGTGGTGACATTTAGGTTCATTTCCAAAGGACTGACTTCCTTGGCAGCACCACTGTCTTTTAGCAGAGGCCATGATGCAAGTTCATGGTCAAAGCAGGCGTGCCTACACAAGACCACTGCTTGACATTCAATTATCTGAGGTCTCTAGACCCCCTTTGACCACCTGCCTCTGCCATCTCATTAATGCCAGAAAGTAGACAGAATTTTTGCGGCAATGTTAGGAACATTTCTGCTGTACATGATTTAAAAGTTCTCCAAATTTTTCAAATAGGTCTTCTACCCATTTTACATTTTTCATACAAAGCTGAACAATTTCTTCCTGCCCTAAATCTTCATTTTTTTTCTGCACAGAAGAAATCTAAAATGAAAAGAAATACCAAATTAGTTTATACTTATCACTTTATAAGCTCTTCACAAGGGCTCACTGTTTCTCTACCCTGAATGAAAAGAGGATTTAAAAATTTGCCAAGTACCAATTTTTAAAAAAAATTCCATCTGCAGAGAATGACTATCTCATATAAATTTGAGTGGTCTAAGCCTATCATTGTCAGCTCCAAGGGGGAAGGGAGGAAGGCTAGGAGAAGTGGTTCAAACTTTCTCAACTCCGTCCAATTGTGTTCAAAGTGGAATAACAAATTTTGGGGTCAGTTCTTGCATTCCAGAGCATTGTAAAAATAGCCAACATATACTGCGTGACCATATTTACTTTCTCTTTTGCTAGATAGATTTTAGATTTATGCACATTTTTCACTACCAGATTATTATCAAATACATGACTGTACAGCCTTGAGCCAACTTAACCCTTTTAAATTAAAAAACTGATAATGCTTGTCAAAAAAAGGTTACTGTGTACAACCATTTAACCTCTGAGGTTAACCCTTATATCCCATCCATCACGTGGTATGGTCACATATAATTTCTGAGCAACTTAAATTATGATACTGAAAAGATACAATTAAATTTTAACTATCATTTCTTCACACCAAGGGACAAAACCACCATTTCTCTGCAATTAACTGGGATAAGGTCATTCTGGTGATAAAGAGGACAGCAAGATATTCAAAGCAGTGACTGAAATGAATTAATTAAACAGGATGATTATACATTATGAGAGAAGAAAATGCAGTAAAGTGCCATTTATCATGGCAATGTAAAACAAGTATAACAGTTTAAAAACATTACCACTCACAGGTCCTATGAGAAGCGGTGAGCCTCAGATTAATCTGAGCACAGCATTTAACAGAGAGAGCACAGACACATATTTTAAAAAATTATTTCTAACAATTCTCTTTAAGGCATTAAAAAATAGCAGCTAACTAGTACATACAACAAAAAAAGAAGCAGATTCACAGATATAGAGAACAAACTAGTGGTTACCAGTGGGGGCGGGGAGGGGCCAGGGGTCAGAGTGGAAGGTATAAACTACTAGGTATAAGATAGGCTATAAGGATATATTGTATAACACAGGGAATAGCGCCAATATTTTGTAGTAGCTGTAAATGGAATGCAACCTTTAAAAATTGCATATAAAAATATTGTAGCTACAATCTTCTTAAAGTTCAAGAAAACATACATTTCTTTTATAAGAAGATAAAAAAAGTAATTACCTCATCTTTACATATCAGATAAACATGATATTTATAATGATGGAGTGAATGATACAAAGAATACAACTGTATTTTCTCTGGATCAACAGCAAACTCCTATAAAAAGAAAATAATTTATACACATTTATTTCATGGAGCATCTGAACTAAGAATACTTTTATGAAAATATTAGAGCAAAAGTCTCAATGGAAATCTTAAAAGACTTATATGGCTAGTATTAATATGTATTAATATGGACAAGATGCTTATTCAAAATTAGAATTTAAATTATATTTTAAAATCTTTATTATTTTTTTCTGAATATAAGTATACTATTTCCAAAGTTAAACATTATAGAAAAGTTTAAACAGTAAACATAAAAGATGACTTATAAGGTAAAAGAATTCTATAATGTCTTGTTTCCGAGGTAAACAATGTTAATAGCATGTTATATATTCTTCCATGTTTCCCCCATGTATAACATATATTACAACACTAAATTTTGTAATGGGAAGGAGATCATATTGTACATATTGTTCCGCAATTTTATTTGTCGTAACTTTTTAAACCTAAACAAAACTTGGATATCTTTCAGTTTATTTAGCACTGCCCTCACTCCCCCATAGAAATTGAGGGCAAGGATTTTGGCAACATTTTTCACTGTTGTATTCTTAATACTTATAACTATATTTGGGAAGCTACAGGAAGTAAAGAATTTTTTATTGAAAGACTGAATCTCTCTCTTCTTTTTAAAAAGCACACAGTATTACATTATCTGGGTAGCTCTTTATTCAGTCTCACACTGGTGATATATATTTCGAATTGTTCTTATAAACAATTCTACAATGAGCAAAGGCATATGGTTTTATGTATTTATGAATGTTTCTACAAAACAGTTTTTTTTCCCTACAAAACACATTTTTGATGGGTAATCGATATGTCGTTAAACTGCTTTGTGAAACAGCAAATAATTTAGACTATGTTGGAAAATAAATGAATTCCAAGTTTAATAATTTTATAGATATGGAATACTGATTCTTATGCAATATGTGCATACTCATTTATCTGTATGCATTTGTATTCAATGACATACAAAAATATTAAAAATATAAGCATGGAATAATTATCAGTCTCATTTAGAAAATTTGTGAGCACTCACTATATGCCAGATACTGTGCTAAGCAATGGAGAAAAACAAAGAATGAGTCCCTGCTCCTGTTCATTCCTCCTGAACACACTTCACATTTAACAACAACAAAGTAAAATACTTGCTTGTTTAGTGATACATTAACCACAGTCCAGATTTTGTTCAAATTTCACAAAATTTTATGCTAGTGTCCATTATTTGTTTTCATACCTTAGTCAAGACTCCGTATTGTATTTAACTGCACTGAGCAGCTTCAGCTGCATGCAACAAATTCTGGTAAATTCTCTTTTCACTTTCATTCTATTACAAATATTTTCTAATTTTCCTTGCTATAGCTTCTTAAAGATACCCATCATTTAAAAGTGGATACTTAATTTCCAAATATAAGAGATTTTGTTTAAAGTATCTTTAATATTAACTTCTCATTGAAATGCTTTCTTCCTTGCAATCACTCTTTGTGTTTTTTTTCAGTCTAATTTTTTAAAATTTACTTTTTATTTAAGGATAATTGCCTTACAGAATTTTGTTGTTTTCTGTCAAACCTCAACATGAATCAGCAATAGGTATACATGTATCGCCTCCCCTTTGAACCTCCCTCCCATCTCCCTCCCCATCCCACCCCTCTAAGTTGATACAGAGCCCCTGTTTGAGTTTCCTGAGCTATACAGCAAATTCCTGTTGGCTCAGTCTAATTTTACTGAGACTTTTGATGGCTAAGTCAAGGATCTCTCTCAGTAAATGTCACACTGCACTTGAAAAAGTATGGGCTATTTTCATTTTTTTTTTTTTCCATTTATTTTTATTAGTTGGAGGCTAATTACTTTATGGGCTATTTTCAAATATCTTTTGATACTGATTTCTAACATAATTTCACAATAATAAGAAAACAGACGCTGTATGATTTCAATACCTTTAGATCATGAAATTTTTGCACTTAGATATGTTTTATGTCCCTAGATATGTTTCAGTGTCTCCTAGTTTATAGCCTATGGAAACTTGTATAGAATTTGTATCCTACTGTTGTGTGAAAACTGAATAAATCTTAATTATGTTGAATTGGTTCACAGTGCTTTTCAGGTCTATTATATTCTCCTACTTCTCTGTATACTGATTCTATTAATTTTTGAGAATTTGATATTGAAACTCCAACTAAAAATCTTAATTTATCTACTTAAAAAATAACTGTCATATATAGTAGAACTATATGTAACTGTGCTCTGTATTTTCCAAGTCTCCTGTAAATGTGTTATCATACTTTCATAATTTAAAAAAGTTAAAATTAAAAAAACTTGCTTGTTTCAAAGTCTTAAGTAGGATTTATATTAACAAGTGAAAAATCTGTAATTACATCAATCAATATATACTTACTTGTGCAGATTTAGTAGTTGTTTTAGAAGTTCTTAGAGTTTTTTTATTATAAGCTTTGCCATTCATTTTGATTTTAGAAATAGCAGATCCTCCACTTTTTGCTTTAGAGTCTCGAGTAATTATTGTTAGTTCAGGAAAACTTTCCAAGGCATTCTTGAGAATAAAGCAAGAATAACTGATGTTAGAAAAAAGTGAGCTTGACTACCTCCAGCTATTGAAAATTTATTTTTTTAATATAAAAGTATAATCATACATGTACATATATACACACAAAAATATATGTGGGAGTTACTGATGGGGTGTGGTAAACATATACAATATATACCTACATACATACACAAACATACATGGGGTGTTACACATGGTCACAGATTCTTGGTAGCTCCTCCCATCAAGATATAGAACCTATTTCCCCACCCCTTGGATATGAGCCAACATTATGACCTGATTTAACCAACAACATGTGACACTGTGGGGACTCCTGAATGAGGCAGAGTGTTCCTTCTAGTATTGTCTCTTAGGCTTCAAGTCAAGGGGAAGGACAACTGTAAGTTTCAACTGTTTATAAACAGTTTCAACCTTCAAGGTCACTCTTTTTCAAACTCTGTATAGGTTCTCTGTGACCCCTCAAACATTTCTTAAACAAATAATTTTTAAAACAAAAGTGCAGAAGTGAACTGTTTCATTTAATAGAAACAACAGAACCTTCAGCATTCTCTATCAGAATGAGCTATTAGTTTCTAGCTTCACTCTCTTTCTTAAGATTATTTGTGCTTTTATCATATACTTTTGTGCTTTCCATATAAAACACGTTCAGGTTTGAAAAATTCTGGACCCAGAATTACTCCTTATAACAAATGGAACTTAAAGAAGATGCTCAAGATGATTGGAAATAAATGTATTTCAAAGGAAAAAAAACATTACTAACTTCACAAGGCTTTAAGATTCCTAAAATTTTCAAAATCATCACAGGAAATAGTAGTAACTGTTTCTAAAAATAAAATATTTTATAATCTACTATTTATAGTATTTTACATCACATTATTCTAATTTTTAATACTGTGTGTCTATTTTGGCTTTGAAATACAAATTGCTATAAATGAAAATTACCTATCATAGACATCACTATTACTATTTACAGTTACATTAAGTAACTATAATTTCAAAATTAGAAATTTTGTGTTTTCTCTATGAAAACAAGAATATGAAAAATTCTTAGTTGTCCACCATAAACTACTGCATAAGACTGAAATACCTACTGAGTCTACTAAATTCCAAGTGATGGCTTTATTTTAACACAGGTCTTTAGGGAACTGGTTCAACATTTCTAAAATGGTTTGCCAAAACTGGTCATTTGTAAGATTTAGTAAATATTCACAGAACATAATCTGACAATATTTCATTGTCTGCCGAAAACATGGTATCTCCCCACAAACTTTCATTTGAAGATAGCAGTTAAACAGAAAATACTGGATTAGGAGTGAGCAGAACAAATTCTTAGCACTGGTTATCTAACTTCTGAATTTCTTTTTTCTCCTCTGGAAGTGTGTGTCAGTGAAGATTACAGGGTGACTAGTAGAGTTTGGTGTCGCTGAACCTCTAATCGGGCTTCCCAGGTGGCACTAGTGATAAAGAACCTGCCTGCTAGCCAATGCAGAAGACTTCAAAGATGTGGGTTCAATCCCTGGGTCAGGAAGATCGCCTGGAGAAGGAAATGGCAACCCGCTCCAGTACTCTTGCCTGGGAGACCCCACAGACAGAGGAGCCCGGTGGGCTGCAGTCCTTGGGGTTGCAAAGAGTCAGACACGACGGGGCACACACACTCTAACTGGCTACAACCTCGCAGTCAGTCTCAGAGCACTCATTCTCACCTACCTAAAACGAAACTGATCTTCACTTTTACATGGAGTTCAGATAAAAGAGGGGTGTGAGAAGGCTATACAAGTCACCCAAAGGACTTGAAAACTTATGTCTACACATAACCCTTCACACAAATTTGTCCGGCAGTAACTGCCAGGACTAGGAAGCATCCAAGTTGCCCTTCAGTAGGTGAATGTATAAACTGTGGGGGTATTCAGACAATGGAGTATTATTCAGGCTAAAAAGAAATAAGCTACTAAGCCATGAAAAAGACATGGCAGAAACTCAAATGAGTATTAGTAAGTGAAAGAAACCAATCTGAAAAAGTTACATACCATATTATTTCAACTATATGACATTCTGGAAAAGGTGAAACTATGGAGTAAAAGTAAAAAGATCAGTCGTTGCCCGAGGTTAGGGGAGGGAAAGGGACGAACAAAGCAGAGGATTTGGGGGCAGTGAAACTACTCTTGTACGATACTATGGTAGTGGATATACTGGTCTAAATTGATGGAATGCACAAGAGTGAACTGTAAGGTAAACTACTGACTTTGGGTTACCATGATGTGTCAATGTATGTTTATCAGTTGACAAATGTATCATTCTGTGGGAGAAGATAGTAATGGGGGAGGTTATTCATGTGTGGGGGCAGGGGATACTTGGAAATTGTACTTTCTGTTCAGTTTTCCTGTGAAGCTAAAACTGCTCCAAAGACTGTTTATAAAAAAGTTATTTAAAAAACTTCTCTTTGAGTTTAGATGTAATCAAATGATTCTAGATGTTACATGTTACACTTTGAATAAGAAAAGCTGGAAAACTTTTGATTACTCAGTAGATTCTATGATAAATTTTCTGACTTTAGATTAGCTTTTTGTTGTTCTCTATTTCTGATAATAGATGGACTTGATGGACATGAGTTTGAGCAAGCTCCGGGAGTTGGTGATGGGCAGGGAAGCCTGGCATACTGCAGTCCATGGGGTCGCAAAGAGTTGGACATGACTGAGTGACTGAACTGAATTTCTGGTAATACCAAAAACCAATTTACAGTACCAAGATATGTTAACAGATGTAGAATATCTCCTACCATTATGTGAAGATCAATTTTTCCTTAGACACTGGGTAAACCAAGCAAATAAAGGGAATTTTGATAACTGCTATGGCCAATTCTAAGTGTAGATGAAATGTGAAATTTTTAAAAAGGCTTAAAAGAAAAACAAGATTGGAATACAGTAGTTTAAGGGAAGCATTTTTGAAAACATTTGAAAATTATAATATTATATATAAGGAATACTACATGAATATAAGGGCTTCCCAGGTGGCTCAGTGGTAAAAAATCTGCCTGCCAATGTAGGAGATGTGCATTTGATCCTTAGGTTGGGAAGACTCCCCTGGAGAAGGAAATGGCAACCCACTCTAGTATTCTTGCCTGGGAAATCCCATGAACAGAGACTGGCAGGTTACAGTCTATGGGGTCGAAAAAGAGTCAGACACAACTTAGCGACTAAACAACAGAAGATGAACATAAAAACCTGAAAAATGAATTTAAGCAAAGAAAAACAAATGATAAACATTAAGAATGTACTTAATAAAATAAAAAGACGTTCAGACAAGACTCACAATGAATAAAAATCAAATTTTTGTTGGGTAGAAAACTTTATAAAACTGAGAATGACTTCCAAAATATTCTTTCCTGTTATGTTGAGGACTATAATTGCTACTGAGTTTGCTAATAAACCATGTGATGGAAATACCTTGAATGACTGATCCAAATGAAGATTCAAAAGAAGTCTCTTTCGGTTATCATTCAGCATGCTATCTATTTTTTTCATATGAGGCAAAAGTAGCTCATCTAAAACAAGATAAGAATTTGTTGTAACAGGATGAACTAGCAACACAAAACCTTGTTAGAAATACAGCTTTTCCTCAAAACATTAATAGACTGACATTAAATTCATGGTGTGAAGTATTGATTTTAAAATATTGCACACAAGGTTTTTTTTTTTTTAAACAAAAGTTAGCTTTAAAAAAAAGTTTACAATAGCTAACTGAGAAAGCAGCAGCATACTATGATGAGAGAACAGAAGTCCTGGGTTTTAACCCCAGCATTAGAATTGAACAACAAACGGTCAAACTGCCTAATTTCTCCAGACTTCATTTACCAAGTGAACGATAATAATATTTCAAATCATAAATTTAACATTAAATTTTTTTCAATAAAATACTGAGTATGATATTCTTAATTCACTGTACTTTGGGGCAAAGGATAAGTAGGGGGCAAGAAAAAATAGTCAAAATTCAGTTTCAAATACACAAGGAAAGAGTCAAAATAGTTATTTTAGAAAAAGAAAAATACATTCAGAGTATAAATTAATTACTTTTGGTGCTGTAGTAAATAGATTCGGTTACTAAAAATTTATCAGCATAGCAACATTTTATAATACTAATTATCTTTAATGACCTTTCTGAAAATGTATATATAAACCCTCAGAATCTAGTTACTAATTTCATAGCTAAATGTCTCTTTATATCTGGAAAATAAACACAAGCACAGAGGCAGCAAAAGAACACTTTCCTCAAGTTGAAGAAAAAGTCCTCAGTAAGGAATGCTGCTCAAAGTCACCACAACACACCTGATAGCTTTCTATCTTTCCAGTAGTGATTAAGTCTATTCAAAATTTATATTTTACAAAAACAAGTTTTAAACATTTGTGGATTGTCTTGAAATATAACCATTAAAATCTATCCCCTTCATTTTAAATGGAGAAAAAAAAATTTTATATAATAGGAAAAAAATCATTTAAAATACAACTACCCAGAAATGACCACTATTAAGAAATGTATATTTTATGATGCAAGGAGTTCTGATTGACAGAGAAAACATTTGCAGGCTCTTTGTTACTGTTTCTGATTATATGATCAAAAAAGCAAGACCAGAAATTAGAAGACTTTGGATTTAATCCTTTTTCTGCAACTTGCAAGTTGTGAGCTCTTAATAAGCAAGTCACTTAACCTTTTTAAGCCTCACTGTCTTTACTCCAAAAATGGCTAAGTTTTCTGGGATTATGGGGAATAATGTATGTCAAAGTATATATGGAAATAATAAAACAATTTATATCATTAGGCACTGCTGTTGAAGTATATTGTTACTATTTATTCATTGTTACTATCTTTTTGTTACTATTTATTCATTGTTACTATCTTTTTGATCTCATTCTGATAGAAGGATAATGGGAACTGGCTCATTAATCCTTTCATTCTCTTAATTGTCCCTGGTGAAAGCTGTAGTAGCTGAAGGGTAAATATTAGTGAGCAACATTAGATATATGAATTATTAGCTTATTTCATATGTCAATTTCATCCCTACTTTACCAGAAGAAAAAGTTACTAGAGGAAGAGTAAAAAAGGAATAATATTAATAAATATAATCCAAGGCATTTATGGTTTTACTGCTAATTGATTAGAAAATATTTACTCTGTGATGTATCTTTTACTAGACATAAATATACAATTTAATCTTTATACTATTGTTATCTGCTTCATCCTTCCAATTATTATAAAACAGAAATATAACGATTGAAATCTGGACCTTCTACATAGTATAGATACTTAGTGAAATGTTATGAGTATGAAAAAGATTCTAGGATTTAAAGAAACTAGTAGGTAGTTAGTCACTTATTCGTGTACGATGCTTCTCGACCCCATGGACTATATTCTCATGAGTAGAAATCAATAAAAATATATTTAATATAAAATTGTTCAACTATTCAAACAATTCATGAAAAGCTATGACCCTATGAAATACAAAGCTGTATTTATAGAACCAATATATCAACAGTTTACTAACTGACAACATACAGGGTATATCACAAAAACCACATATTAAGCATATAACCAACAGAGAAGAATGAAAAAGACCTGGAAAGTACTGCCCAAAAAGTATGACTTAGCAGACTGTACCGTTGCTCTTCTCCAAGGCTTGCATTGTGTCAGGATCCAAAGCAATGCTGACAAGCAATTCCATGTAACTCTTGAAGGTCTCCTTCATTGCTCGTGTGTTCAAAAAACGAGTGACAAAAGGAGCTGGAGGATTAAACTCTGGGAGGGAGAAAAGAGGAAATATTAAAGATTCCTTTCTGACAACTTTAAAAACACGTTACCCAACAGCAAGTTACCTACAAGCAGATAAAAGGTTGTAGATAAAACTTCTTCAAAGTCGAGGTTCTCCCACTCTGCTTTTAAAAACACTTCGAATGAGAGATTCTCAAAGCTGGTTGTGCCTATCACAATCACTGGAGAGCTTTGAAAACAAAACAAAACAAAAAAACCCAGACTGCTGGACTTACTAAAACCAATCTGGAGTGGTAATGAAGCTTAAATGCTACACTTTAAGAAAAATTCCCAGGAGAAGGAAATGACAACCCACTCCAGTATTCTTGCCTGGAAAAGTCCATGGACAGAGGAGCCTGGCGGGCTGCAGTCCATGGGGTTACATGACTGAGCATGTGTGCACGAGGGTGGAGGGAGATGAGTTTGTAGTAATAAAGTGGTAGAACTAAAAAAAAAAAAAAATCCCAGGTGCCTCTGAAGTCCAACACCAGCCCAACATTTGGAAACATTTGCCCTTGTAGGGACCTGTTTCCCCTCCCCTGGCCCTACCAGACATCCACTGTGAGGTCATGCTACTTCAAAATTGGATGATTTTTCTAGTATTTAATTAGTAAAGAAACCATAAAACACCTAATGTATGAGTTAACATATACATATTTTTTCTTTTTACTTCTACACTTAAATTACTGTAAAATTCTGGTCTAGAGTCAAGACATATTTAAAAATTTTTTAATGTAAACACAATCTGTATAAAAAAAAGTTCACTCAAATTCAACAGTTAAGAACTGCAAGATTAGAGGAGTGTCTTAAATTTTACTTTTTTATTCAAATACAGAACTATCATCACAACCTTTAACAGGGGCTCTTAGAGTTTGGTCCAAACCCTCTGGGGTCTCCCCAACAACCCTTTCAAGGGTCTCTGATGTCAAACTGTTTTCCTAATAATATTAAGATGTTATATACCTTTGTTATTCTGTTGACATCTGTAAAAGTAATGCTGGGTAAAACATCTGTGGGCCTTTCTGAGCATGAACTGAGACACTGACAGCAAACTGTACTAGTAGCCATGTACTCTACCATGACTGTCATCTGCGGTCATGAATTTGAAGGAGAAAAAACCCCGAAACATTGATTTCATTTCCATTTCATATTTAAGAATAATCCTTGAAGAAACAGTAAAAACTTAATTGAATCAAATCTTTACTCTTGAGTAAATGTCTTAAAACTCTGTGATGAAATGAGAGGTATATATAAAGCACTTCTGCTATGATGTATGACAGTTGTCTCCATGAAGAGCACCCATGCAATTGTTTGATGAACCAGCCACCTTCTCCTCCACTGGAATACCATTTTTACTTAAAAAATAACAGATACCCTACCCCTATTCAGTAGTTGGCAGACATTTTCTTAAAGAAGTGAACCTGTCACTACCAGGAAAACAACTGACAGTATTTGCTGCTGATGATAAAATTGAGGTTCTAAGTGAAAATTAGAACGTCAGAAAACTTATTTCCACCATTGTGAGCCTGACGACCATTTCAATACTTAAAGACTTCATTGATGAAATTAGTGGTAATATAAATATGTTATTTTTTAATACTGCAAAAATTTATTATGTAAATGTAAAAACGAAAACCATGAGGCTCTTAATGAAGAAAACACAGGGGTAATTCTTCATGACCTAGGATTTGGCAATGGATTACAAATATGACACCAAAAACAAAAGCAATGAAAAAAACAGATAAATTTGGCTTTATCAGAATTTTGAATTTTGTACATCAAAAGACATTATCAAAAACTGAAATACAGGGCTCACCTCCACAGCACATATACTAAAAAAAAAGAAGTGAAATATCAACCTACAGAATGGGAGAAAATATTTTCAAATCATATACCTAATAAGGGTTTAACATCTACAATATATAAAGAACGTCCACAACTAAGGAACAAAAGGAGAAATGAACAGGGCAAAGAATCTGAATAGACATTACTCCAAACAAAGTAAGAAAATAGCTAGTAAGGAATTGAAAAGATGTTCAACATCACTGGTCATTAGGAAAATACAAATCAAAACCACAAAGAGATACCATTTCACACCTACTAAAATACCTATCATCACGAAACAAAATATAACAAGGGTTGGTGAGGATGTAAAGAAACCGGAAACCTATGTATTGTTAGTGGGAATGTAAAATAGTATAATCACTGTGGAAATCAGTTAGGCAGTTCCTCAAAAAGCTAAATATATAAAATATATGACTCAGCAATTCCACTCTTAGGTATATAAATAAGTGGAAAACCAGGACACAAACCTAACAGATATTTGTATGCCAATGTTCACTGCAGCATTATTTACAACAGCCAAAATGTGGAAGTAACCCAGGTGTCTATCAACAGATAAAAAGATAAGGGCATACAATGGATAAACTTACAATGGAATTGCATTCAGTCATAAAAACTAAAAAGTTCTAACATGCTATATATAGGATGAACTTTAAAAACATTATGCTAAGTGAAATAAGCCACCCTTACATGAGACATGTAGAGGAGGCAAATTCATGGAGACAGAAAATAGATTAGAGATCATCAGCAGCTGGGGGGAAGGGAGAATGGGGAATTATTGCCTAATGGTTACAAAGTTTCTATTTGGAGTGATTAAGCAGTTTTGGAAATAGCTGTGAGGTTGTGCAACAGTTGTTAATATAATTAATGATGCTGAATTTTACACTTAAAAATGGTTAAAAGTGGCAAGTTTTATGTTATATATATTTTGCCACATTTTAAAATGTGGGGAAAAAAATGGAAAAAAAAAATCAGTAAGCTAACAAATATTTTCACATGGCCAAAAAATGTTATGAAGTCATTCACAGATGAAAGATACTTCAAAGGGTAAAACAAACAGATTTTAACGTAACAAGCATGAAAAGTTGAAGAAACTACCACTTGTCAAGTTTACAAAATAAAACCCTTTGGGTATCAAAGAAAAATACCCATAATTACCTAAAAAAGTAATCAAAATACTCCTCTCTTTCCTAACTACATACCTAACATGAGTCCAGGTTTTCTTCACATACTTTAACCAAAATAACATAAAAAACCTAATACAGAATATGAAAATCCTATTCTAATTAAACACAATTGTTTAAAAAACTTACATTAATATGTAACATGTGTGTTAGTCACTTAATCGTGTCTGATGCTTTTCGACCCCATGGACTGTAGCCCACCAGGCTCCTCTGTCCATGGAATTCTCCACGCAGGAATACTGCAGTGTTCAATGAAATACTGCCATTTCGTTCTCCAGAGGATGTTCCTGACCCAGAAATCAAACCTAGGTCTCCTGCATTGCAGGCAGATTCTTTACTACCTGAGCTATAGGGAAGTCCCCCATATGTAATGGGTTTATTTACAATATTTTAAAATTGTTTTAACTGATCCTTGGTGATATACATAGATACAAATCACACACAAAAAAGTCTTTTGGAATCATTAATAAATTTGAAGATTACAAAGAAGTCTTGAAACAAACAGTTTGAAAAACCACCAGCCTAAAAACTGTGTTTATTATCATATTTCCTTCTTTTCAAGAAGCACTAATAATGCTTGCCTACTAGTGACACCGAGTGGTAATTCAGATTATCAGTGAAAGAAAATTTTCAACTTGATTGTCATTTGAGGAAGCTGTATAAATAACAGTGCAAAGCAGAACTTAAACTTCTCTAAACTTCTCTATTCTAAACAGTAAGCAGGAATGCTAACTGTGATATTACATATAATTATATATATATATATAAAATAATGCCTTCCATGCATACTCAAAGCACTAAATTTCTTTACAAATTCTGATACTTTACAAACATTTCTAAAAAACATTTCTAAGTAGCTTTTAAAAATAATACATTTAAAGCAAACTTCTGTTACGAAAGAATTTTTATTATAATTCTATTTCTATCCAAGTAATTCTAGATCAGCTCCCAGGCAATGATACTTGTAATGCCAGAAACCATCCTAGACATCAACCTCAACAGTGCCCCCAAAACTCAATTCATCATTCAAGTTCTGCCAAGAATACATCTTGAATTTCTCAAAAGCTCTGGGAGTTGGTGATGGACAGGAAAGCCTGGTATGCTGCAGTCCATGAGGTTGCATAGAGTCGGACACGAATGAGTGACTGAACAGACAGATGATGTCTCATGATTCAAATTCAGATTTTACCATTTGTTCTTTTACTTAAATCCCTCCAAGGATTCCCCTCTGTTTACAGAATCCCAAGCTTTTTAGCTTTAGCATGGCATACGCAGCCTTCCGTCATCCTTCCATGTTTTTCTGACTACCTTGTTAGAATCAGGGGTCAGCGTATTTTTCTGTAAAGGGCCACATGGTAAATATTTGGCACTTTAATGGTCATATGTTCTCTGTAAGAACTACTCAAATCGGTCACTGTAAGGGGAAACTAACTTATGAAAACATGTAGATAATTCCCAGTTTTCCAGTAAAACTTTATTAAGCATAGGCTGCAGATCACATTTAGACCACCAGTAGTAGTTGCCTGCCTCTGCTCTGGACTACTGAACTGCTGAAAGTCTCTTGTTAATGTTATGCAATAAGTTTGCTGGCTAATGGATGTTTCCTGGTACATTTCTGTTTTACAATTGTCTCAGGTTTAATTTCTAATGAAGCTAATTTCAATATATAGAGAGCTTACATAAATGCTCATTGGTGCCTTCAACAGTTTCTAACAGTGAACAGGGTTCTAAGGTCAAAAGGTATGTTAGTAACTGCTATGTATTTCAATCTTTTCACTTTATAAAAGAGAAACTAAGGCACAGTTACTTAGCTTAGTCATGGGCAAATATATGCCTTAGCAGAACTTAATGAGGTAGCTAAATTCCCTAATTAAGGAAAAATAAATACATTTTGAATTGTCAGCATCATTGTTTCTCTCCATTAATGCAGCAAATCTCAAACTATCAAGGTATTCATTTCATGAAGAACTCACCCTCATCATCACTACTACTAGAGTGGATCTCAGGAGATGAGTCAGATTGGGATGATGAAAATTCTTCTTTCCATTTCTTCCTTTTCTTTGGTGGTGGCTCAGCCTTTACTTTTAGCTGTTTAACTTTGGGTTTCAGGGAAGGGGCTTTTGCTGTTGCAGTTTTTGGTGTTGGAGGATCAGAAGTTTTACTGCTGTTACTTGGCTTAGCCTGAACAGTTCTGCAATGTTACAAACAGACTTCATTAACACACTGAAATCTTGTCTAATTCAAATAAATTAGACAAGGGACTTCCCTGGTGGGTTCCAATAGTTAGACCTTTGTGCCTCCACTGCAGGGGGTGTAGGTTCAAACCCTGGTTGGAGAACTAAAATCCCACAGGACACACAACTTGGCCAAATAAAGTAAATAAAAATTTAGAATAAAAAAATTTGAATGTAAATAATTTAATTAAAAAATAAACAGAAAACCAAGAAACACTGGTGAAAAAAATTTTAATCACCTCACCAATACTTCCAAAATAAAGTCTAAGCCCTACACATCGCCAATGGTGGTTGCTCCAAAATTCTCTTGAAATACACTCTTTAACACTGACATTCAGCATATTCAGTTAGTAAGGGACGGCATTAATTCAGCCCCTATTATTTCTCTCCCCCTCCTTTCCCTGTCCGAACTCATTTTTCCTATGAGGCTGTAATGCAGATGATCAATGGACTTCTAGTCCATCGATGTTCTAGCTTGGAACATCAGAACTCTCACAGGTTCTCGTGGTGCCAGGTTCTGATATGGGCTCTCAACTACACCTATGCTAGAGTCCCCAAAGTAAGATTTGCTGTGCCCTAGTTTTGGAGGTTTGAAGGAGAGGATGAAATTCCATCATATAGGTAAGGTGGCTGTGTCCAATAAGCTGGAATCTTCATTAACTAGATCTTCTGAGCACTAAATTGAGAGTATCTAGGCTCACAACCCCTTTCCCATACAGACTAAAGAGAATGTGGCTGGGTCATCACTTCCAAATTCATGGTTTTCCAAATTCATGCTCCAGACAACCCAGAGTCACATTAACATATGATGACAATTCTAATGCAGTTGTATCGTACAGGCCTTAAACAGTTTTTTTCTCAAATTTTTTTCATTTAAAATTTGACATTCCGTTATTATTTTCATTTTACTTTTAGATTAAAAAAAGGGAGCTAAGCAAGGTTATCTTTTTATCGGTTTGTTTTTTGGGGGGCGGGGGGGGGCGCTGTACCATGTGCAGGATCTTAGTTACCTGACCAGGGATCAAACCTGCAATCCCTGCAGTGGAAGCATGGAGTCTTAACCTCTAGATCACCAGAGAAGTCCCTAGAAATGTTTATATTAATCTAGGTCATAAACAGATGAATTCAAATCTTTAGACTGTAAATCCAAGTATTCTCCACTATACTTGGGTGACATCAAAAGGACTCAGGAAAGAAAAACATATCCACCCCACAATGATAGCCACAGACTTTATAATTCCTGTGTCATTACTTCAAAAGGAATCACTTATGACATTAAGCAATGATTTTCAGACTTGTATATAATTGAAAAAAAAATCAGTCTCTTTTTAATTGATGTAATTCTTTGCATAAGATATCACCAATAATAAGCTTTCCAATAATTATTACAAACATATTATATACAATAATAAATACCTGATAGTCTGTGAAGGCTTATTTCTTGGCTTTTTGGAACACACTCTGACATACTCCTTTTTGTTAGTGTTTTCAATGAACTTCACATATATCCTTTTGTATTTACTCTTTGCATCTCCAAAATATCCAAGGTACTAAGGAAAGAAGCACTTTGAGTTACTTAATTGTACATTCCGTACATAAAATATTCCCTTGTTGTCATGAGACTGTCATAAAGTCATCCTTCAAAATGCAGCTCAGGCCAGGCTAATTGCACTCTCAATAAAAATCATCCCAGCCTCACTCTTAACTGCAAGCCTATATATAGATGCAGTCTTCTTTGGGTAATCATCAGATGCTTACTTGCTCAATGTTATTAAACAACTACTTAAGTAAAAAGAAATAATTCTGTAAGTCTTCTTGGTAAATCAGGATATTTGATTGGCAGAATAATCAATGTAAGTGTCTCTAGGTCCATCAGAATTCTTCACACACTAATGTTAATTCCTTTCCATTATTAAAAAAAAAAGTTAAGCCATTTAAGTAGTTGGTATTTAGACATTAATTTTAAAATCAGAGCATCATATACTGTAGTTCAAATTTTATGCTACTTATTAATATATCAGAGATGCTCAATATAAATACATTAAACAATACATTTAAATTTATATCATTCTATATTTTACCCAAGATCACTGTCAAAAAGTAGGAAGCTTAATGTAAACAAGCATTTTACTTACACTATTTGTAGCAGCAAATTCTCTTTGCCCATCTCGAATTTCAGGAACAAACTTCTGTAATAAAGCTTTTTGTACTTTCCAAATAGCTGGGGGTTCTTTTCCTGTTTTTAAAGCCTCCTGTAAGAAGAATTAAAGACATTTATAAAAACTAGCAATATATTCTAGATTTATAGACTCTGAGAGCTGAAAGGAATCTTAAAAGAACTCCCTAGTTCAATCTTTTATCTTTTACCTAGCTAAACTTTCGTGGTAATTCTTATAAGTCAGCTATTCAGTCTCTGCTTAAATTCTTCCAGAAAAAGGGAGTACAAATATGCAAAGTAGCCCACTACCCTTTTCTATAGCTATTTGAAAGTTTTCCAAAATGATACATTGTTTCTGCAATTTTATTACATATAGTACATACATATTCAAAACCACCAGAAACAAATATGCTAAAATACTAACAACAGATAATTGTGAATGGAAGGAATATGGATAATTTAAATGTTATGTTCTTCATTGTATTTTTTAATGTCATTTCTCTTCACTGCAATTAAAAAATGAAATCAAAGCAATCAAACATGGCTTATTCATGTTGATGTTTGGCAGAAACCAACACTATTCTGTAAAGCAATTATTCTTCAATTAAAAAAATAAATTAAAAAAAAAAAGGCAAGCAAACAAAACCCCCAAAATAAGTGTTCTTAATACTGCTAAAATTTCTTACATGAAATTGTAATATTCTACAATTTGAAATTACAAAAAAAGTCTAATGTTACTTTTACATTATATTCCTATTATTTTCTTTAACTGTTTAAATTATATAAATAACCATTTTCTCCAAACTTCATAATTCTTCACAACTTAAACTAGAGCAAGGTATTAAAAGTCATCATGAAGACACACCCCCTAAACTATGACCTTTATACCTGGGAACATTCACATTACCTTGAAAGTCTCTATGTCTTCTATCTTTACCACAAATTCATCACGCTCTCTGTACTGGCCTTCTCCTCCACTTTCTGCGTCCTCCTCATCTGTAAAACCTTCTATGGCAACAGTGTCCTGTCCTTTTGCAAACTGGTCTGAAGGAAGACCGTCAAGTTCGATGGACTTTGGGGGTTCTGAAGAGTTTATATTTTCTGGGGTATTTACTGCAGATGAAGTGGAGCAGAGAGTTTCTTGCTTAACTGCACCCACAGTGGTGGAGGAAGTAGTAGCAGGACCAGTAGTATTGGCAGTTGTGCTAGTAGTTGCCACCTGTGTGGCTTCTGAAACTAGATCAAGCAAATGCAAATTAGTAATACAAAAATATTAAACATTTATTTGCTTTGAGTAAAATCTGCACAGTTTACAAAGTGACTTAATATTATTTTTGCCATCAATTGCTTCAAACAATGAAATTAAAGAATGCTTGTTAGACGTAGAGAATGGACTTGTGGACACAGCGGGGGAAGGAGAGGGTGGCATGAATTGAGAAAGCAGCACTGACATACATACATACACTACCACACTAGGAACTTACCCCTAGTTCCACTTAAGTAGCACAAAAATATTTTTACTATACATACACTATAACACAGGGAGCCCAACCTGGCGCCGGGTCACAACCTAGAGGCAGGATGTGGGAGGATGGGAGGAAGGCTCAAGAGGAAGAGGATATATGAATATATATATACACACATATACAAATATGTGACTGATTCAACATGCTGTATGCAGAAACCAATACAACACTGTAAAGCAATTATCCACCAATTAAAAAAATCAAAATGAAGAAAAAGGGCATTTATTAACTTCTTAACATCTGGATGACAATTAGAAAGAGAACCTCCATCAACCGAAACTTACCCCTAGTTCCACATAAGTAGCACAAAAATATTTTTAAAAGAACAGAGACAAAAAAGTGATGTAAGACAAGGGTCAGCCAACCAAAGCTGTGAAGGCCTAGAAGAAGAAAAGCCAATTGAATGTGGGAAACAAAACAACACCCCTCAAATACTTTGAAACAGCACTGGAAGCTAAATAAGAAGGATCATAAAGTAATATGAAAAACTGTATACCAACAAATAACTTAGGTGAATGGGACAAATTCCTAGAAAGACACAAACTACCAAAAGAACTCAAGAAGAAAGAGAACATCTGAACAGACCAACAACAAAACAATAAAAGAAATTAAAAACATCCCACAAAGCTAAGCACAGGTCAAAATAAGGTGGGTTCTATCAACAGTTAAGATTAATACCAATCCATCATAAACTCAAAGAGATAAGAGGAAATACTTCCCAACTCATTCAAGGCCAGGATTATTCCAATACTTAAACTAGACAAAAACACCATGAAAACACTACAGACCACTATCCCTTATGAATACAAACACAAAAATCTCTAGCTAAATATGAACAAATATTTCAACATACAAAAGAAGTATATGGGCTTCCCAGGTGACTCAGTGGTAAAGAATCCCCCTGTCAAGCAGAAAATGTAGGAGACACGGGTTCAATCCCTGTGTCAGCAAGATCCCTGGAGAAGGAAATGGTAACCCACTGCAGTATACATCATGACCAAGTGAGTTTTATCATAGGAATGCATGCTTGGTTTAACAGCTAATCAGAGACTTCCCTGGTGGCCCAGTGTTAAGATACCAGGCTTCTACTGCAAGGGATGCAGGTTTGATCCCTGGTCAGGGAACTAAGATCCCCCATACTGTGCAGCATGAGCAAAATAAAAAAAAAGAAATCACAAGAATCCCTATAAAAATCCTGGCTGATTTTTTTTTTTTTTTTTGCAGAAACCAACAAACTACTCCTAAAATTCATATGGAAAAGCAAGAGAGTCAGAACAGTCAAAATAATCCTGCAAACGAAGAATAAATTTGGAGGACTCACATTTCAGAAATTCCAAATCATACCACAGTAATTGAATTTCAAAACTTAATTACTCCTTTAGTAATTAAGGCAGTGTGATAGTAGCAAAGGATAGATACGCAGACCAAAAGACTAAAGTCCAAAAGTAAACTCTATATTAACAGTAAAATGACTGTGAACAAGGGTGCCAAAACCATTCCATGGGGGAAGCATGAAAAGGCTTTTTGACAAATGGTACTGGGACAACTAGATAAGAATAAAGAATAAAACTGGATGTCTACCTCATACCATATATAAAAATTCACTGAAAGCAGATTATAGTCATAAACGTGAAAGCTAAAATTATAAAACTCTTAGCTTCATGACCTTACAAGTAACAAAAGAGTAAGTTGGACTCGACCAAAATTGAAAACTTGTACTACAGCTGATGCCATCACAAAACTGGATAGATAACCTACAGAATGGGAAACACTGTTTACAAATTATACATCTGCCAGATACTTGTATCCAGAATAAAGAACTCTTAAATCTCAAAAAGAAAGACAAATAACCCAATTTAAAACGTGAGTGAGACCTGTTTGTCCAAAAGATATAAAAATTGTCAATAAGCACATGAAAGGCCACCCAACACTATAAGCCAGTTGCATTAGATCAATGCAACTTCAGTAGATAGTTGCAGTCTAACCTACTAGGATGGCTCTAAAAATACAGAAAAAAAAAACATACTAGCAGACATGAAGAGAAACTAGAACCCTTGTACTTTGATGGAGAGAATGTAAAATGATACAGCCACCTCAGAAAACAGTTTGGCCACTTCTCAAAATGTTAAGCATGGCACACAGGATTCTATGTGGCAAGCAGACTTAGGTTGCCCAAGGCACATCAGATCTTGGTTCCCCAACCAGGGATCGAACCCGTCCCCTGCATTGCAAGGTGGCTTCTTCACCACTGGACCATCGGGGAACTCCCCTGTTCTAACATATTTTTATGTTATTATAACTATGTATCATGCTTTCTTCCTCAAAAATGTAATCAAATATATCCAAAGTATTATTTCAACACATAGTCACACTGAGGGAAGCCCATCAAAAATGTCCATAAATGGAAAAAAAAAATTTTATGTCTTGTGACCAGAAGGTTCTCTATATTAAACACTTCTAACATTATAATACTTGTACAGTAGATCCAAAGTAATGTTTTTCCAGTGTAATATAAAACAAATGTAAATGTAAAAAGAATGCATCTTTTGAGTGGATGTGGCATTTAAAAATTATTCATTTATGAATTCATGGGTGAGTATTACATATTGACATGAGTTTTATAACCAATTTTATTTTTATCCTTCATTTTAATTGATATAAAAACTGGGAAACACTGTTCTTATAAATAATGGGAAACACTGTTCTTATAAATAATGGATAAATGAAGGAATAAAGGGGATTTTACTACACCAATGTCATAGAATTTTAAAAATACACTGTTTCTAAGTTACATGGCAAAACAAATCACATAGCTATCTAGAAACAAAAACAGAGATACTGCCACCAGCAGACTCAGAAAAGGGAACTGTAATGGACATGCTTTAGTCATAAGCACAGTCATCCCAAGGAGAAGACATGAGGTGCAGGAAAGAATGGAGGACAATATGGTAAATGTGTGCACGCTCGGTCATGTCCCCCTCTGTGTGACCCCATGGACTGTAGCCCGCCAGACTCCTCTGTCCATGGGGATTCTCCAGGCAAGAATCTCTCTCCTCCAGGGGACCTTCCGAACCCAGGGACTGAGCCCAGGTCTCCTGCATTGCAGGCAGATTCTTTACCAGCTGAGCTACGAGGGAAGTTCAAGAATACTGGAGTGAGTAACCCATCCCTTCTCCAGGGGATCTTCCTGACCCAGGGACCAAACTGGGGTCTCCTGCATTGCAGGCAGATTCTTTACCAGCTGAGCTACCAAGGTAAATGTATAAATAAACCTAAATAATCATTGACTATTTAAAAAACTATTTCTTATTGAGTATTAATTAGAAAACAGGATAGAATTAAAATACACAGGGGAATTCCCTGACAGTCCCAGTAGTTAGGACTTCTCTCTTCTACTGCTAGGGGCTTGAATTCAATACCTGGTTGAGGAAATGAGATCTTACAAGCTGTGTGGCATGGCCAAAATGGAAAAAAAACAAGTATTAAAATACATGGTATCTACCAATAAAGTTAGGAGAGCATAAAATGGAGTTTTAATGCTCAGGGTCTTTATGTTGTTCAGGAGAAAAATAAGATACTAACAGATTTCGAAGAGGTGAAGATGCATACTGTAATCCCTATTATAATCAGGAAAAGAACAGAAATATTTCATCACAGTCATCAGGGGGTGAGGGGTAAGAATGAAGACTGACCCGGTGTTGATGATTATTGAAACTGAATGATCCATGAACTGGTTTAATTATATCAAGGTTTATAACTTTGTGCTTGAAATTTCCGTAATAAAAAAGTTAGGAAAATATTTTATAAAAAGAATAGCTTCCAAATTAGTGAAAGGAAAAACTTATCAATACTGTATGATGTCCTTTATGAGAAGTTTTAAAATGAGTCAAAGAAAATACATACACAGGTGGTAAAATTATAAAAGCATGGATGTGATTACCATCCAAGTCAGACAGTGTTTAGTTCTATAGATTATGATCTACTTTAATACTCTATTTTTGAACTTTCTTGCTTTCAAATGAGTAGCATTTAACACAGTAATATTTCTTCTTTGCCCCACTCACTTTTGGCACATTCCATTCGTTTCAAAATATAATGTTCCACTGTTCTAAGTGGTTTGTTATTTCAGTTTTAATTTCCTTTTAAAGCCATGAGTTATTCAGAAGTTATCAAAAGTTATTTAGAACTTTTAGAAAGAAAAACTCACTTTTTTATCTTTTCGTTCTTTTTTTCTTTCTGCTTTTCTTTTACGAAATTACTGCATTGTGGTCAGGGAATGTGTCTTAATTAATATCCACATTTTCATATGTATGAAAACTTCATGTGTGTTTTCCTTATGTGTATTATATTTTCATACAGAAGTTATGAGGGGCTTCCCTGGCAGCTCAGGCAGTAAAGAATCTGCCTGCAATGCAGGAGACCCGAGTTCAGTCCCTGGGTCCAGAAGGAAGAAGGAAATGGAGAAGGAAGTGGAAACCCACTCCAGTATTCTTGCTTGGAAAATCCCACGGACAGAGGAACCTGGAGGACTATAATCCATGGGGTTGCAGAATCGGACATGACTGAGTGACTAAGCATGCACACTCACACACACGTAAGTTGTATCTCACAAGAAAAAATGTTCTGAAAGAACAGAGATATAGAAAATATACTAAAAATTCTAACAGTAAGATTATTATAGCAATATTAAAAACAGAAATGTAAAATGTG